GCTCCTTGTCGGGGACGATTTCCATAGACGAAAGGAGGATGGCGTCGTAGATGCCAAGGGCCTTCCATTGCTCGCCGAAGAGTCGTTCCATTCGAACGACCCAGGCTGCCCAGGATGTGGTCGTCGAGGGCCAGGAGCCCTGGGGTTTAGCCGCATCCCATCGCGACCATTCAAACCCTTGAAGCAAGGGTGTTAGGCAGTGCTCCTGTAGAAGGCCGATGATAGTCGGCGGTATTGTAGCCTTGAAGAGAGGACCCAGGATTTGGTACTGGGTGCTCATGTCGTTTTCAAACCGGATGGTCTTGATCGAGCTCCGATAAAAAATCTTCTGATGTTGGTCACATTCCCTGGAAAGCTTGGAGATGAAGGACGCCATTGTGAGAAAGAAGCACGGAGTAAAAGGGTTGTCTGGGTTGGGGACTTAAAGACGAAGACTTGAAATAGGAGAAATGCACTAGAGATCAACGGCAGAGGATTTTAGGAGGTTTGAGAGCGTAAAGGTACAAATGAGGGAATTTCGGTATTTATAGAGTTATAGGGGGAAGAGCAATCGTTCGAAATTCAAAACAAAGGGCAAAATCGACCGAAGGAATTGTTGATCATGATGAACATTTGGGAAATGCGGTTGAGAAGACCGAAGGTCAGGGTTTTGGGGGCGCAGGATTGCGTGTGACGGCGAAATTAATGACGAAAGACGGTTCGACGCCCGCACGATGACAAGTGGGCTCACGGACTGAGGTAGTGGCTTGCGGATTGAGATAGTGGTCATGATGGCAAGACGGTTCAGGCTGCCGCACGCCTTAGACGTCATTATGGGGGATTGGCCATGTTAGAAGACGCCACGTGGCGAGTGGGTTAGCAGGTTCAAGATCGTGCGATCGTGCTCAATAAATGCGCCTTGGAACTCTGGTATTAGGATCCTGAGTGGTAGATTCGCTTCTTCAAGGTCGAAACTCGGCCGAAGGTTTCAGGCCGAGGACCTCAGAAGCGAGGGGGCAATGTTTGGGCCCAAAATAATAGTTTGGGCCGAGGGTAGGATCACTCTCGACCCAGGAGGCCGGGCGGCAAAAGGACCATGGATCGGTCAACCCGTGGGAGTCCAAACCTAGGGCGGTTAGGACGAATCCTAGTGCAATGGGGAGTCTCGACGGGATCGGATATCCAGGAAACTAATCCAGCTTAGCTAAGGACTAGGTTCATAGTCCTAGTAGGTGTAGGATTGGTCGAGGTGATCCGGAGATGGAAACCTAGTCCGAGTAGGATGTAAACTCGGACTCAAGGTTCAGTACTATAAATAGGGGACGCTGTGCATCAGGAAAGGCCCTACAAAATCAATACAAAATTACCCTGCGCAAACTCTCACAACTTGTGATTTTTCTTTTTCTTTTTTCGCTGACACATCTTCCGTTGGCATCAACAGCACTGTGAAGGCAACCGGTGATATCTTAAGTCGGCATAGATAGCTCTATCACCGTAGAATTAGCCGATCTCACAGCATCTTCCGTTGGCATCAACAGCACTACGGCGAGGACGACTGGTTACCTATCCAAGTCTCGGTCGAGAAGGATTTCCGAATCCTTATTGGTCGAGGTCATCTCATCAGCCTTCTCGGCGAAGTGAGGTGTTACCAGGTTATTGTATTCGGCACATTGACAGCCGAATTTGAGATTGAACTTCGCAAATTAGCAGCCTTGTCTTCAGGCTCTAGAACCCAAGAGGCCGAGAATTGTTCCTTCCTCGGCCGCAATCGCAAGACATAGAAGTCAACAGCGCGCTCAACGCAACATCAACAAATTTACTCATCGGCCGAGCTCGGCCGACGAGTTGGCACGCCCCGCAATCACCGAAGGACGTAGTTAGCTTAGAAAATACTCGGCCTGCGCGCCACGTAGGCTCTATAGTTTCTAGGGTCAACAAAACCATTAATGACAATGCCCCAAATTAATTGTGAACAGCACTAATTAACTCTCAGTTTTTCCTAAGTTCATTGAATTGGACTCAGCAACGCAATCAAATTATTCTTCTCAAGTTCCCTAACTATGAAAAGCATGATAGAGATACATCTCAAAGATTATTAAGTTCTGTGAAAATCATAAGCATTGACAAAGCATTTGTAACTATGAAAAGCATGATACACCTGCCAAGAATTTACTTAACTCAATCATGACTAGTGACTTTTACTACTTGCAAATATAAGTTCATAATGATTAGGTGAAATTCCCTTATATTCTAGCATCAAATCATTGCATGCAAACTAAGTGTGCACCCTTAATAAACATACAAAAATAAGTTTTCTATAAAGCAGATAAGTAAATCGCATTCATGTTTTATGAAACAATAACTAGATGTAATCAATTTATATAAAACATATAATCATGGCTTCGAATTCACCTCTAGCTAAAAAGAAACTTAGTTACACATGTTCATCATAACTAAATAAACAATCTAAAATAAACAATGAAACTTAAAACAAAGATAGAAAGAACTCTGAAATCCAGCAACTTCAATGGATGAATGGTAGGCATGGCACCCGCCAAATCTCTGCAGGAATTTCATATATATAGGGGAAAATGGCTGAATCCAAGGAGAAAAAGGTTTTGGCATTTTTGAGTTATTTTAGGACTCTAAAAATCAGGTAGAAAGTGTTGGAATATGATTAGGATTCCTCCTTGCAACTGGAGATAAGATAAGATAATGTTGGATAAGATAGGATAAGATAGGATAATGTTCCTCTCCAATTAGGATTCCTCTTTCTTGTCTAATTCCTTGCCTTCCAAGCCTCAACTTTAATTTCTCCAGATTTTAGCACATATCTAGCACCATTTAAACATCAAAAACGTCCAGCCCATATGCTATCCACGCCTGCTATCTAATCCAAGTCCAAAACTGCTCCAAATTGCTCCATTTTGCCATTTATTGTCATCTTTACCAATTGGACCTACAATTAATAATACGAAAATAACTTAAATTACTACAATAAATGGAAATTAACTAAATAAATGCAAAGAAATAAGATAACAAAGTCGCATAAATATGCTCCTATCAAAACTCTAGATCGAGAGTGTTCCTCGGCCATAGTTGCTCGATCTAGAAGTCAGCAATGTGATTCTACATCACCACTACATTCATCTTGTTCGCCCAATTCACCTTGGTGGCTAGGTGACACGTCCGAATCAATCACAAAAAGGATGTAGTTAGTTCTTAGTTATTCGGTCTGCGCGCCATGTAGACTTGGTAGTTTTTGGGTCAATAATTGTTTATTTCATTTGATGTGCTCGTTTGAAGAAACATTCAACTCAAGCTGCTAGCTACGTTCTTATCGCGAAATGTCAAAAGCTATATTTATAATCCAAAAATGTATGGTTTCTAATTTATAATCAAAATAAATGCTTCTAGCTAGCTAGTAATGTCATTGAATTTTTTTTTTCCCTTTCAGATCGCATCTAATGTTATTGTTTGTTTATTTTTTTTTTTTGAACAAACGATAATATCTACTGTTATTTTTTGTTTGAACAAAACTTGGAGAGGTCGTTGAAGGTGGGCTGAGGCTTTGAGGGACGTGTGTGGGTTCTTTTTATGCATATACTCAAAATATAAGCATATTTTTAAAAGAAAATGTTAAGGAGACTACATTGTATCATCTCAGCAGAGAAAGCATGTCTTTTTATTACTATTCCATGCTAGCAAAATGTAACATATATCTATGATTCCAAGTGAAGCAATGCATATATGGCACCCCGAAGTCGCTGTGTATGTTACAACCAATTACGCTTAATTATAGCAGGTTGATTGGGAAAATTACACTCCATGCATTCTATGCATGAAGGACGAAGCAACGGCCAAACTCAATTCTCGTTGCACCAGCCATTTCTTTCTCACGGTAAAATTTGGCTCCATCCATCTTTTAAGACCTCTCCATTCTCTCCCTATTTTAAAACCTATTTGTAAATTAACCGTCCCATATATCATCTCTCCCATCCCCCAATTGTACATATCATTTTCCACTAGACCAAAAAAAAAAAAAAAAAAAAAAAAAAAACGCCTCTCTCTGTAGTCCTCCCTCCATGACTCTCTGATCAGCGTGTGATGTGGTTTTCACTCATAATGTCTCGCTAATTTACACATGCATCGTACAAGTTATGATGATGATGATGACGAGCAAGTAAAGTGTATTAATTGGCGGAGAATCACATTAAACACACCGATCTGGGTCGAAAATTCAAGAGAAATGAAGGTGCAGAGGATGAGGTAGTTAATGTTGTTATGGTCTAGAATGCAAAGCACTCGTGTGGCCCTCGTGGGTGGGAATCACACCGCTGCCCGGTTTTGCACTCGCTAAATTCTTTTGGCTCTCCGCGCTAAATCTCCCTCTCTGTCCCATAACAATCATTCATATGCTCTCCTTTTTTCTCACAATTCAATATTTTACTTGTCTTCACATCGGCCGAATTATCAGTCTAGTAATTCTTGAATTTTGCATGCAACATTAGTACTAAATTTTTTTTCATAACTATGGCGATCAATTTGATCCAAGGTTTCCATACCAAACACCAACCGAAGCACGCTGCTCCAATCGAATTGTATTCAGATGCCAAAGTACTTGGTTATTCGAATTCCAGAGCCTTGATCCTCGTCGCTCGTTGTTTGATCTTGGCTTTGTGCATCGTTTCACTCCCATGGTTGTGCTCACTCATCCCCACTGCAACCACTTCTCTGCATGACATAATTAGCTCATCTGACGTGGTTAATCTGGAGCTCAAGCCTTTGATCTTCAGGGACTTGGCTAACGAAGGCCTATACAAGAGAGGCACACATAAAGCTGTTTTTGTAAGCAGTAGGGACGAAGAAGCTACCAAAGCATCTCAGATCCTCGATAACGAAGATATTAACGAAATTGAGCTTATCAAATCTGACAAACAAAGATCAATCCCTGAAAACTCAATTGACTTTGCATTCGTCTCTGCCTTCACTGCCGCCTCAAAGTTCATCGAAATGACTCTTTAAATCAGTGGGATTATCATGCTTTAGCTCAGCAATGATGCCTCCAACAGCTTCAAGAAGCCAGACAACTACAAGATGGTGTACTTGAGGTGATTAGACACAACTGTTTTGGCAATGGGGAAGACCAGCACCCACGCAACCGAAACTTCATCCTCTACCACCACCTCTCCCACAAGAAGAAGGCTATTGGCTGAGGAGGCAAAGAATGAGGCGTTGAAGAGGCTAGAAGATGTGCTTCTAAAACCCCCTAGAGCCTCGTCTGGGAAATCGAGGTGGTACTTGAAGCGAACGAGGTTCCTCCCAGACTTGATGGGTGACTCGCTCGAAAGCTATCCTAGAAGGGTTTTTATTGACGTAGGATTACTGGAGAATGAAGGCGGAAGTGGGACGAGCTGGTTTGCGAAGAACTACCCTACCCGGAACAAGAACTTTGAGATGTACAAGATCAAGACTGTGATAGAGGAGAGTTCCGGGAAGGAGGTAGTTCAGACTAGAATGTCAGAGTGGCTGAACAAGAATGTTAAGGAGAAGGAGTACGTGGTGATGAAGGCCGAGGCCGAGGTGGTGGATGAGATGGTGAAAAGTAGAGCGATTCACTTGGTGGATGAGCTTTTCTTGGAGTGCAAGCCATAGAGACATAATGACAAAAAATTAATGTTAGGAGTCGCAGGGCATATTGGCAGTGCTTGGCATTGTATGGGCAGCTTCGGGATGAAGGTGTTGCGGTGCATCAATGGTGGGGCTAGACAAAAAAAAGTTTTCGGGCATGGAGAGAGAGAGCAGAGGGAGTTGCACGAGTTCAGAGAGAGAGGTAACAATATAGCAAGCAAAAACTGTCGTTGTTTTGATTATTTTTCTTCTTTTTTGTTTTCTATTTCGATTGCATTTGTTTTGTTGGTGTGTACTACTTTGTATGTATGGACTTAGAGTTCATATAATTCATCTTCATAAAGAAGAAACTCTCTGCAAGATCTTGACGATGATAAAAGAAGATGAAGCATTTATGACACAAATGATGGTTTCAACTGAAAGGTGTACGGTGTTTTGTTCTTAAACAAACAAAGAAATACAAAGAGAGAGATACATATATATAATGTGCTGTTGCAGATACATATATATAATGTGCTGTTGCTAATTATGTCATTGATTTTTGGTACTTGTATCATTTAGTCATGATTCAGAGCTAAGCTGCTCAGATGTGTATGAACTAGGATCACAGTTTTACTGGCTAGTAAGAAATTTCAAAATTTTCTCATATATGAGACGTCTAATTTCAGCTTCTTTTAATAATATTATATATGCATTTTATTAAATTTTTTTTTCTCTCGTGTGGATTTGAATTATCTAGTTTCACCAACCTTGTTGTGTTAAAAATGTTCTATCTTTCTTGCCTTGGATACGGAAAGGTTGAAGGAAATTTTGTGAAAAACATGTTCATTTGAACAACATCTATAGCATGCAATTAACATTTAAAGGCGGAATCATGCTTGTATGCACTCAAAAACAAAACATTACCCATGAAATTCAAAGCCTAGTAGAAAGGTGAACCAAGACTCAACTCAAGAACAAAGTGAGTTGAGATATTTTATACCTTTATTGATTCCTCTTTGCATAAGCAAAGGCTAATCACCCAAGGAGAAGGCCTCCATTCCTTGCTTCTTAGTTCCATCGATTTCTTGGAGGAGGATGGTAGAAAGGATTCTCCAAGTTCCCAAAATTGAGAACCTCTAATTTTTCCACACCAAGGAGGGACTTGAAGAAGAGATGAGTGACCTTGGAGGAAGATAGAATGCTAGCTAATCTCCTCCAAGGGGGCTGGCCTCTTAGAGAGAAAAGGATAGCATTGTGTTCTCATCCTTTCCCCAAAAGAAAACCCTAAGGATGAAATGGCTATAAAGTTGCCTTTATACCACCTCACAATGAAGTGGCAAACTTGCAATTAAAGCAAGTTCACTACCCTCCTCTATTTGGCCGGCCTTAAGGGTTTATTGGGCTTTCAAGCCCTTTGTTTATTCAAGTTGTCATACAAGTTGAGTTAATGGGCTTGACATTCAAATCTCATTAGGCATTGCGGCCCAAAACTAACCCGAGGTCTTTAACGAACTTTATTCGTTTGGTTAATTGACATATTAATTAATCCTTGCCATAAATAATTAAACCATTTAACTATCCTTACTCATATCCGTTGTTTCTTCAATCTCTACCTTACACGGTGTACGATCCATTAGGTTCCTTTTAGCGAAGCAGTGGGCGATTAGAACTCTTTCAAATCGATTGTGAATTGAAACTTACTTTCAATTCTCCCTTTAGTGATTATACACGTTTAGGGCTTCCACAAACCATGAGTGACACATAGCAGTATGTCATGGTTACCCAAGCTAATCAGAAGAGGTGGAGAACCTATTCAGTTTAGGATTACAATGCAATACGGTCTTTCTTTAATACAATACTTTTGACCACGGTTTGATAGTTTAATCATGTCTACTATCCAATGTGATTCATTTACTTATATGATTACCTTGAATGTGATTTGGAATGGCTTCCTAAATCTCATTTATACTCTGGCCAGAGATTCTTAATCATATCATAGAGTATTCTCCCTTAAACGGTTTGAAGGTTAGAGATCCCTTGTTGCGCATTCACTTGCCTCCATGGTTAAGTGACTTAACCCCAACTATGCCGTGGACACCCTCTGACAGAGTGACTTTGACATAGTCAAAGATCAAGGACCTAACCACAAGACAACTATGATGCCTCAGGTCAAAGGACTACTTTGCATTATCCCAACCATGAGTTCTCATGTGACATGAGTATGAGAACTCCTTGTTGATCGTGTTTAGTGGACTCATTCTCTATTGAGCACCTATATGCTTGTCTTGGTGTCAATCACACCAATGACTCGAGACTAGTCACTCTCCCTGAGAGAAGACACAACACGTACTGATCTTAACAGACTGTCAATGCCCAATTGGCAATCTTATGATCAGGAACGTTTAGGATATGTATACGAAAGAGAATGGTCTCATGAATCTAACTTCTTCCAATTACATTCTCCTAATTACATATTCCTTGGACTTATTGTTTAAGCATATAACATTTATATGAGACGGCTTAAAACAATAATCTTTGCCCTTGATATTAAACTAGATTAGTTTAACATGTGAAATGTCCGTAAAGTATCATCATATGATTGCTTTTAGGGCACATTTCCAACAAAGGTTTGAGCCAGTTTGGGGTTAGCCCAGTAGTGAGAGTGGTGGGTCGGTAGGAGTAGGCTAAAGATTCAGGGTTCGAAACTCTTCTTTATAACTCGAAAGTTGTCAAGAATTTGTCTGTGGATCATTAGGGGATATTTGCATTTTTTTTGAATTACTCAACGCTTTATTCTTGAGGCAAAAAAAATGGAGCTCGTTTGGATGTGCTTTTAAAATGACTAAAAGTGCTTTTAGAGAAAATGTTTTTTGGTTCCAAAAGCACATAAAGTGATTTCTGCAAGAAGCACCAGTTATGTGCTTTTTCCAAGAAGCACTTTAAGTGTTTCTAGAATTTACTTGCATTTTTACTAAGGATTGGTTCCAAAAATATTTTCACCAAGAGCGCTTTCAGTCATTTTAAAAGCACATCCAAAAAAGTTTTTAGATACCTTCAATTGCTTGTTTTCCTTTTATATCCTAATATACAAGCAATAATGGATGGGAGATGTGGTAACCGATATGGGACCTCAAATGTAAGAGTAAATGATCTTAATGACTTGTTTGCTTTTGTTATATGTGTTATGGTTTTGCTCACCAAAATTGTTGGATGAGGTTTGTAGTCGAAATCTAGACAAATAAATGTTTGACAATATCAGACACTTACGAATGTGCACAATTACTTGATCAACCATGCCGACCAGCAACAATATTATGAAGGTTGTTCAGAGTGTTTAAGTGGCTGCATGACAATGGTTTCAAAGGGTTTTCTAAGTGTTTAGGCGTGTTCACGCCGCGCTTAGACCAACTCTAATAATGGGCTAAAACTTATAATTCCCCTTCCCCCTCCAAAAATAGTCTGCTCTTTCACTTGCAGGAAATGAAGTTTTAATTAAGGCTGTGATTCAAGCAATACCATCCTACCCTATGAATCTTTTTAAATTCCCGACTGTGGTTTGTAAAGATCTTGATTCTTTGTCTGCGGGTTTTTGGTGGGGCAATTCTGGAGGACATAGACGGATCCATTAGGTGAGATGGGATAATTTGGGATTGCCTAAGTGTGCGAGGGGTTTAGGCTTTCGGAATTTCCAGGACTTTAATGAGGCTTTGCTGCTTAAACAATGTTGGTGTCTAATTCGCAACCCTAATTCCCTATGGGCTCGGACTCTTAAGGCGCGTTATTTTCCTCATTCATCTTTCTTGGATGCTAAATTGGGCAGTCGAGCTTCGTGGGCTTGGGCTAGCCTTCTTGTAGGAAGAGATATTCTCAAAATTGGTGCCCATTGGCAAATTATGGATGGTAGGGACACTCGACTTTGGATTGATAGGTGGTTACCCTCGCTTCCTCTTGGTCATCTTACTCCCCGATACCCCACTTATGTCACTATGAATACAAGGGTTTCTTCCCTTATTTGCCCCAGTTCTAGAACTTGGGACATTGATTTTTTACTTCCGTTGATTTCTGAGGAGGAGGTCAAAGCAATTCGTGATACTCTATTGGGGAATTGTTCTCGCCGTGACTGTTTGATTTGGACTTCGAGTAAAAATGGTCAATATTAGATTACGTTGGGTTACCATTGGATTCATTCCTCACGGGTGATGGTGGGGGCTCCTCATTCTTTGGTTCCAAGTAATTCAGAGGATTTGATTTGGAAGGCTTTGTGGACTATTAATGCACCACCAAAAATTCGCATTTTCTTATGGCAGGCTGTGAGAGAGGCTTTGACAATGATGGGGGAATTATACTCACACAGGTCTGCCTCATCTCTTTTGTGTCCAATTTGTCAGAATCATGAGGAATCTATTATGCATATGCTTTTGCGGTGTCCTTGGGTGGAGCCAATTTGGTTTGGTGGTCATCTTAGTCTTCGGATGGTTGGCGATAGGGTTGCTTCTTTTTATCAATGGTTCCGTAATATGATCAATGTGACTTCTCATCCGCAAGATAGATTGCGGTTTCTTACAGTTATTGCCTTTACTTGCTGACACTTATGGAAAGTGTCACATCCCAGCTCAGGCCCCCACCACATCCTAAGCTGGACTCTGTCGTAGCACGATATTGTCCACTTTGGGCCCCGACCACGCCCTCACAGTTTTGTTTATGGGAACTCACACGAGAATTTCCCAGTGGGTCACCCATCATAGGATTGCTCTCGCGCGAACTTGGTTAACTTTAAAGTTTCGATGGAACCCGAAGCTAGTGAGCTTTCAAAATGCCTCATACTAGGTAGAGATGGGAATATACATATAAGGCTTACTGGATCCACTCCCTTGGGTGATGTGGGATGTTACAGAAAGCCCAGTGTAATTATGTCTTTAAGGCTTCAACCCTATTTGGAGTCGTAGGTCCAAAATCCCTCATTATTCATGCTTCCTCCAATCCAGATCCTTATTGGTCCCCCTCATCTGCTCCCTTCATCAAAATTAATGTCGATGCTAGTTGGTTCCCATTGGATGGTAGGGTTACTTTAGCTGCAGTACTGCGGGATCATGATGGTCATTTTGTGGCAGCCCATAAACATTCTATTGTGGTTCGGTCGGTGGTGTTTGCTGAAGCAATGGCGATGTTTAAGGGTTGGGAGTTGGCGGCGGAGCTGGGTTACCAGTGGGTTGTTGCGGAGTCGGATTCACTTGAGGTGGTCTCTTCCTTTAAGAGGGATATTTCTAATGGCAGCTGGGAAGTGTTTCTAATCTTAGATTCTATTTTGAGTTTGGGGACTTCTTTTCAGGGTTGTCCCTGGTCTTGGGTTCCAAGATTGGCCAATCAGTCAGCGGACCATTTGGCATCGAGAAAGAACTTGGAGATGTGTGACAACACTTGGGTCAGACGACCCCCATCTTCTTTGATTCACATTCTAAACAAGGATGAGCTTCCTTGCCTTCCTAAGTGTTTTTGTTGTGGGTGTGTGTTGGGATGACGTCTGGCCTCTGTGGCAGCGTCCTTATGTTGTTGTCCCTCACACGGCCCCTCTGTCTGTTTTGATGTGCTTGCCCCTCTTATGGGCTTTCTTTGTTCTGTTGGCTTTTGCCCTGGTTTGAATATTTCCAGTTGTTAAAAAAAAAAAA